GTATAATCCCACGTCTTTGAATCCACACATTTTACAGCCTTAATTAATTATTTTCTTTAAATTGTTCTTAAAAGTAATGAACTGTATGAATAGCAGATATTTAGCTCCAGATAAAAAGAAACATTTTTGTATGATTGTTATCAGTTGCCGTGATTCGGGATATAAATGGTTCTCGTCCTCTTAATTTAGAAGTCACTGGTTGGCCCGTTAAATGTAAATATTATATCTGAAGCAGGCATATAATTTCAACTAGCACAATTTCGCACAATTGCTGTAAAAATGTAATTCCGAGAATGCAACATCAATGCAGTAAAGGCCTGATTCCACGAGCGTTTTTTACTCGGCGAAATGCGAAACATTTCTACTTACTGCGAAAGCGGACAAAGTGGGACAATTCAATACAATCGCTCATGTGCAACCACCGTATTTCGCAGACACAAGTTCTCGCGACGAATTTCGCCGTCGTGGAATCAGACCTTAAGATCCAGACACGCCGGACGCGATTCGACAACGCGACGCGATTTTTCAGTTAGTTTGAAAAACAGCCAATGAGAGCAATCGCGTCGCGTTGTCGAATCGCGTCCGGCGTGTCTGGACCTTTAATGCGCAGATACATGTACGCGGTCGCGTACCTATTTTTTGGCATGCCGTGCGTGAGCAATGTAATTACTATTCCAATCAAAAGTTAACAGACTTTGACTGAATCACAGAGCGGTGCATGTAACTGCTGCCAATACAAAATCAGACACTTATTTTAGATTGGTGCAAAAATGAATAAATAGTTCGTTTAGTAATATAATATTATTTTTCTAAATTAGTGGTTATGCTCCAGGGGGTCAGGATACATGCCAAGACAAATAGCACGGTACATGGTGGAGTGAACCTTTTTTGGCAAGCAATATATCAGCACCCATCATCGACATTTCACTAAACATTCCGGCAAGTAAACACTTGACTTATGTTTCAAAGACCTGACAATAATCCAAAGATAAACTAGACCATTTACGTGTTTTTAATAAGCAATGACAATGTAATTACTATTTCAGTCAAAAGTTAACAGGCTTTGACTGAATCACAGAGTGGTGTAACTGCTGTTATTTTAAATTGGTGTAAAAATGAATAAATAATTCGTTTGTAATAATATAATATAGTTTTTCTGCATAAGTGGTTATGCTCCAGGAGGTCGAGTCCGTCGAGATACATGCCCGGACAAATAGCACGGTACATGGTGGAGTGAACCTTTTTTGGCAAGCAATATATCAACACCCATCATCGACATTTAACTAAGCATTCCGGCTGAAAGCGTTTACTTGACTTATTATGTTTCAAAGACCTGACCGATAATTCAAAGAAAAACTAGACCATTTACGTGTTCTTAATAAGCAATGTAATTACTATTTCAGTCAAAAGTTAACACACTTTGACTGAATCACAGAGCGGTGTAACTGCTGCCGATACAAAATCCAGACACTCATTTTAAGTACTGTGAAAAATAAGAGTTTTGCATCAGTAGTTATGCAGCTCCATGCAGGGGCCGTTGTTCAGTGCTCGAATAGCGCTAACCCTGGTTTGGGTTAATATGGTTATAATAATGTCTACCCTTGTGGCATAATTAAATGTTCTGCGCGATTCTATTAACCACATTTTTGTATATTGTACAACATCTACCTATTCTACCTATCAATAGTACATGACACAAACCATAGGCCTCAAAAAATTTAGCGCATGGAATTGTGGTCGTGCACGCTTTCTAGTATGCGCAGAACACAAATTTTGAACTCGCTCGAGTCTTCGAATTTTTATCGAATTTCTAAAGCTTTTTCAAATCTAATGTTACGCTTACATTTGTTTTTGACTTTGACCGCTGTCAGTGTCTTTTCTTAGTGTGATAAATCTGTGTTTATAGTCTATATAATGTGGTAAATGCGCCTAGCAGTAAACAGACTTGATATGAAATCTGATCTTAGTTTACCTGTATGTCAATGAGACGATCACATGGCTACCTTTAAAACAGGGAATGGGGAATCGGGGAATCCGGAAATCGCGAAATCGGGGGATCCAGAACTGATAAGACGGGGATATTAGTGTGCTTGTTGGAAAACGCATTCGCTACTGTACACAATGCGAATCAGTTGTCATAAATAACTTATGCTTATGGTATATAATTTATTATAGATTATAACAGCGCTGTGCACATATGTGATTTTAATAACATATAATTTTATTAATTTCAATTAGACATTAGCGTCTATAGAATTTTGTTCCAACGCGCAAGTTTTTAAACTAATAGACTGTAAAATGCATGCATCTTACAGGAAACGGGATTTAAACTAAAGACCACGCTTTATATGCTAAATATTAATTTTAGCCAAAGGGGCGCAATTCGGCGGCGGCGACGCGGTATGTTTTTAGTTTTCATTCACGGATACTTTGCAATCCCAAATTACTTACAGTACTTTAAAATTAACATATTTTTGATTATTTTTTAACAACTAAAAATCGCGCAGATTTGGTTTAGGCACTGAGATGTTGGAGTTTTTAAACTCCACAGTAATGTCTTAAAGTATCCGTGAATGAAAACCGTACCTCGTCGCCGCCGTTTTAATTGCGCCCCGTTCGCTTTAATATTTAACATATAAAGCGTGGGCTTGTAGTGTTATCCCGTTTCCTGTATGATGCATGCATTTTGCAGTCTATTAATCCAAAAAACTTGCGCGTTGGAACAAAATTCCATAGACGCTAATTATGTCTAATAATAAAATATATAATTTAATAAAATATATAAATTTAATAAAATTATATGTTATTAAAATTCACATATGTGCACAGCGCTGTTATACATATATAATATAGCATAAGCTATATAGTCATCAACTGATCCGCAGTGTATACTGTATGTTCATCGTCTGTATTATTCTAAACAAAGTAGTAAATGCGTTTTCCAACAAGCACACTAATATCCCCGTCTTATCAGTTCTGGATTCCCCAATTCCCGGATTCCCGAATTCCCCGATTCCCCATTCCCTGTTTTAAAGATAGCCGACGCACATGTTTAATATCTGTCACCTCTGATTGCCCTTTAACCCCTGGTCTTTGCTGCTTCAATATATATTGCTGCTTCTCAGTTCCATTCACGGCTCATTAGTCGCTGCGAGTAATCACTGTGCTTGATATAAATCATATAATTTGTGCTGTTTACTGTAGTTCTATTTGCTTTTAATGCGCGAGGCAATCCCTACCTTGCAGGTACCCTAGTACTAAGACATAAACTTACAACCCTCACATAGCCTTAACCACATGTGGATAGACCGGATATACGAAATACACAGTGACAACATGGACTAAGTTTACAATATCTCACTGTATGGTCCAACTTCCAGACCCTGTGAAGATATATTTAAGAAAACCATTCACTCAAATGAAATACAGGAAAATTACACAACACACAAAATCACAAGCGACTGTGCAAGTCTTGTTACCATTCCTAATTTGCAATATCGCAGTATGGTCAAATCCGATCCTGTGATAAATTCATGTGCATCATCAAATCACACCTATCAATTACCAAGTAATAACTTTACTGATACAATACATGCTAACGTCAATTACGATATTTCTACAATGGATTTACATAAAAATACACAAAACAGCGTACGCATTATACGCGTGCACCTTTTACACAATATTTCACGGTATGGTCTACTTCAAGTCCCCGTTGAAAATATACGAAATCCATTGGATGGATAATGATTACAAAATATAAGTAAACCACAGGTCCAAGACGCATGTAGAGGTCCTATTACCTATCCCGAAATTAAAATAAAACTAAAATACACAAAGCTTGCAAGCCTTTGCACACCACTCAACTCACAGCACCCTTGAATATGCATCTGATGCTCGATATATGCGAGTGCAAAAGGAACAGGGAATTTGTGACTAGTCACGGATCACACGGTCACAATCGCGCTATGTGCGGTAATTACTTCCGGGGACCACGCTGCAATATTATTTACAATAGGAATCTACTGAGTTTGACTAATAGTCGCGGGTCGCGTGTCGCGGGTCGTAAAAAAGATCTAAACCGTTGAATAAAGTGTGTAAAAATCACATTAAAATTTAGTTATTTAATGTTTTTCATCAATAGTTGTTCGAAGATGTTATGGCTGATAAATATAGACAAGAACCATATAACGTTGTAAAGCACGTTGATAGACGATAGTGCAAAAGGTCATGTTGCACATTCCTATCTTTATAGTCCTGATTTTAGTAATACATATTACCATCCAATTTCTACCATATCAGGGGTAAAAATCCGCTCAGTGCGCTTTGTCGTCAAGCCTCTGCGCATCGATCAGTACTTTGCAGAAACAAGTGCTAGAGAACAGCGACTTAAATATCCGGGTTGTCGGTGAATCATAATGTACTTTTATAATGTCCTCCTAGCATGGATATATCTATTATTTGTGATACTATATGGTTGTTTTTAACTTGGTATAAAACTGATTGTAATAGTAGTGGTAAACTGAATTTATTTCTACCAAAGTCTTGTTTGTTTCTTTCAGAACATATTTTTTGATTAGAGGATTTTTGTCATGGTATAATTGTTGGTTTAACATATTGAAATTATTCTTTCGGGTTTTAGGCTTCTGGCACGTTTATATCTAGAACCTTGATCATGACAAAAGGCTCTTGGGCAATATTTCGTATTGAAGCAATCCTATATGGTTGTTTACTAAATAATAATGTGATTTTTACACACTCTTTATTCAACCCGCGACTCAATAAAATACACGGTTTGGAGCCTTTTTATAGTCTGCGTCACAGACGCTCGTGGGTGGAAATGGGGAATATGTCGTAGTCTAGCTTTTTTACGACCCGCGACTTTTTACCCGCGACATTTTACCAGCGACATTCTACCCGCGACACGCGACTTTTTACCCGCGACACGCGACCCGCGACCATTAGTCAAACTCGAATCTACTTACCTACGCGAAAACCAAGGTGAATTTTGGCAAAATACACTTCGGGAACTTTTACTTGTTGATTGCTCCTCCATATATACAAGATGTCAGGTTAATGTTTTTAAAACGAAAATTATCCAAATTGCTCTGAAATATGTGCCGTTGCGTTCGTTCTAAGTTGTCCATGGCCAATGGGGAATAGTCCACTATCTCTGATCTTGGTTAGTTGTTGTTAATGCTTTCCCAACAACACTATCATGTATTCTATTTAAGTATAAGTTAGAACATATAGTTGGAATATTCTTCAAACCTTTATTTTGTTAATCTAGAGCTTGTAATGCCCCCCCCTGGCCCTGTAACAATTCATGACTATATACCAACTATTATCAACCCTCGTTCTTCAGTTTGACAGGGGCCAAAGCCTTTTGAAAATACATGTTTTTGTAATATGTTAAAAGCTTTTGTAGAGTGAATTTGCTTTTATAGTGCGGTCTAATTTGGATTTAATTAGTTATATTTCCAAGCTGTCATATTTTTTGTTTTAATTAAACTGATCCATATTAAACTGCACTATAAAAGCAAATTCACTCAAAGCTTTTAATATATTACGAAACGCACAAAAACATGTATTTTCAAAAGGTTCCCGCCCCTGTCAAACTGAAGAACGAGGGTTGATAATAGTTGGTATATACCATGAATTGTTACAGGGCCAGGGGGGGGGGGGCATTACAAGCTCTAGATTAACAAAATAAAGGTTTGAAGAATATTCCAACTATATGTTTAAACTTATATTTAAATAGAATACATGATAGTGTTGTTGGGAAAGCATTAACAACAACTAACCAAGATCAGAGACAGCGGACTATTCCCCATTGGCCATGGACAACTTAGAACGAACGCAAATGCACATATATTTCAGAGCAATCTGGATAATTTTCGTTTTAAAAACATTAACCTGATGTCACACTTCCGGTTATATTAACTTCCTGTACGTAATACTAGATCCAGTCTCCTACTGTTATATGATGATGATGATAACAATATTTAATCAGGGACGTCCAACTCAGCATAGCTGGTTTAAGTGGAGCCCTGGCAAAAATAGAATTACAAAACACACAGCTACATACTAACATATATAAAATTACAACAATTTAACATACTGTATACTAATAACTATATTATGTAGATTCCATATAATATAGACTAAATACTTTCTTGGACTAAATACATTCGGTCCTTAGATACTTCTTTACATCTATTTTAAATTTAGAAAACCTGGTTTGATTTCTCAATATTAATGGCAACCTATTCCATATTTTTGCCCCGTTATATCGAAAAGAATTTTGATATTTTGCGGTCTTAGCTAGAGGTAGGCGGAGGTTATCTTTGTGTCTTGTATTATAAGCATGAAATTCGCGCGAGTAGTTAAACTCATGCAATAAATAAACCGGCGCCAAGCCGCGAAGACACTTAAGGACTTGGAGACAAATTTGATACTCCCTTCGAGATTGTAATGATGGCCAACTTAGTGTAAGATTCACATCAGATTGCAGCACTCGACATCCTTCAATGATACTAGCTGCCCTCCTTTGAAGCTTTTCTAAGAAATCGCAATTTGTTTTACCACAATTATCCCAAACAGCAGAACAATAATCAAATAAGGGCAGAATCATAGCATCATATAGTGTGACACATGTCTCCCTCGGAATAATCTCTCGAGCCTTACGTAACATGCCAAGCCGAGATGAAATCTTAGTAGAAATATAATCAATGTGATCATTCCAAGAAAGGCATGAATCAAACATAACACCGAGATATTTGAATTTGTAAACTCTATCCAACTTAATGTCTAAACACGCGTACTCACCATAGCCATAGAATATATAATAGACCAGAAGCCTCACTATACACCTTTCCTATAACATTTTCGTGTCCGCGATTTTCGCCTTGCGGATCACGAATTGCACACGCTAGATGACGTGTGTGACACTTGCTGCGAACATCGCGTCAGCGTTCGTTAGCGTCAATTCCTCAAATCAACGGTTTTTCTTGAAATTCGAAAAACATGCTCAAAGTGTACGCTGCATATTCTGCAATTATTGTGCAAATATTTTACGATTTTGTTTTTTACGTTGTGGCTTCCTGTTGCGATGACCCATTATTTGGACCTGTGGCATTTAAAAACGGTTAAAACAGCAATCTTTATTACCTAGTGATAGTAATTGATGGCGTTGCTCGCGTTTGATGGCGTCGTGATTACACTTGCTGGCTCGCGCTTGCGCATAAAAAATCACGGACACAATTTTGGCTGAGTGAGGCTTCTGGTCTATTTTCTATTCTGTGCCATAGCCGCCATATTGTAACATATTTTCAATAAAGCTAGTTTCAAATAAAACGTGCAAGTTTACATGGTGTCAGGTGTGGGATTGATGACTAGAAGGTCTAAAAACCCAACACAATAAATACTTGGTTACTTGTTAACAAAAATGAGTGATCTAGCTGGCTTTGAACCGCGAAGAATCGATTGGGCACCCGGACCAGATCTGCCACAACGGCTCAAGCGATCAGTTCGGCAGAAATGTGAATTACTGTTTGATGGCCCTTTGAAAGATCGAACTGTTAAGCAGAAATGTCGATATGTTCTCCTATGGGTAGGAGATTATGGTCTTCATCTCTATAATACATGGAATTTGAGTGAAGCCGATCAAGACAAATTAGACGAGTATTGGAAAAGATTTGAACAGCACGTAAAACCTCAGTCCAACCATCTTGTCAACCGTTTCTATCTCAGAAACTTGAAGCAGAACAACCGACCGCTCGACGAGTTTTTAACCGAAGCAAACCTCCTTACTCAGAACAGTGGTTATCCGGATGAAATACATGACGAATTGATGCGAGATGCTTTGGTATTTGGAGTTGATTCAGATACAGTCCGTAAGAAATGTATTGCTGAAGGGAATGAACTAACTCTTATAAAAGCAAGAGAAATCGCCCGCACCGAGGAAGCTACCAGACAACAGCTAAAGGTGATGACCAGTGATATTTCAAACCCTATACAGGTAGACTCATTGCAGAAAAACAGGAGAGGAAACATGAATCGAGGTAAGACCAAACCATTGTATGATAGACAAAAGGGATATAAAATGAAATGGGATAAGCCAGTATGCACTAGATGTGGGAATACAACACACAATAAAGATCAGAAATGTCCTGCTATTAAGGCACAATGTTTTGGATGCAAGAAAACTGGTCATTACCAAAATATGTGTTTCAAGGCAATCAAAACAAACTGTAACTCACTTGAGCGTGATGATAGCTATTCAAATGAACCAGATATTGATGAAAAAATATTTCTTGGTACTTTACTAGCAGAACAGTGTCCAAACATTGGTGCTAACCCAAACCAAATTAATAGCCTTAGTACAGAGCAGAGAAAGAAAGTACTGATTGAAACCCGTCTGACTGCAGAGCCTTACCACAAGTATACCACCCCAGTAGTAGGCTATGTAAAATTGACACTGGTGCAGAACTGAATGTTCTATCTAAACATCACTATGAAACAATTGTTCCCAATCCCAAACGAAGGCGGCTTGAGCCACCTAATATAAAAATCACCGCTTATGGAGGTCATGAGATTAGGAACATTGGCACCTGTCAGTTATATATACATCATATGGATGAAGTTAAACCAATAGTATTTAATGTTACGGATGTCGAAGGTACTGCCATACTAGGTTGTCAAACATCGCGTGACCTGGGATTGGTACAGTTTCCTTGTAAAATAATGCATTGTAAAACCTACAGCAATACAACATAAATATAAACATATAACATTTCAGGATAACTTACTGCTTTGAAACGACAACCCAAAACTGACAAAACGGCGATATAGTATTCGATATTTTTTTTTGAAAAATCGTTTTCAACTTGCCACCACACCACCGACACTGCAGGAAAGAAGGTAGCCTGCGAACAGGCATTTAGAAAGAAAGCGGAAATTATGATCCAGCATAATAAGCTGGAATTCGAATCATACGTCACAAAACGTCATCAATCCATTGTTCTAAACACTGAATCCGAAAATCTCGAATTCTCCTCCACATAACTCGCGGAAAACCTGGGGCAGCAATAATTTTAGCGATATATATAGTAGGGCATTTTTTAACTATATAACTGGGGGGCAAAGCCCCCCAAGCCCCATGGTGCCCCCCCCCCCCACTCACTTTATTTAATGCTAAACTGGCATTGTGTTGTAAATACCTTATTAGATTTTAAACATTTTCCAGTGGATTGCATTTCCCAGACCCTATAGATTTGAGTTGTTGGACTGGCTCGGCTAAACAAGTTAGTGACCGCAGAGGGCGTAGGAAGCAAGGGAAAACTGGCCCCCAACCCAGTGTTTTATAAGAAGGGATAATTTTGGCCCCTCACCAAAAAAACCTAATTGATTTCGAAACTAGAAGTATTTGAAATCGTATAAGTTAGTTAGTTAGAGTTATAAACCGAGAAGGAGGTTTATAACTGACATATTGCCCCCGAGGACGCGTAGCGGTCCGAGGGCAATATATCAGTTATAAACCGACTTTCGAGGTTTATAACTAACTTATATCACATTTGTGGAGGTTTTCTAACGTATTTTGTCATTTTCAAAAATTTTTAATGAAAAATTCTCGCGTTTTGTCTACAAGTTTAATCTAATCATTTATTCAAGGTCTATAAGCTAGTTATAAACCTCGGACGATCAAAGAAAACCGACACAAATATGATATAATTATAAATATATATATAATCAAATATCTGTAATCGATATTTTGATGCTGACAACATTTCTCGTAATAATCCATCCTGACTCACGGGTAGCATAGACTCACAAATCATAATGAAAGAATTAATGAAAGGGCCTAACAAAAGAGGTAGAGAAGACTTTGAAAATGCCATTTCCGACGATTTAAAGACACAAAATTTTCAAAATTTCTCCGTTCTGTGCCAACCATGGTGGCGCTTCGTGGGAGTCGGGTCCTCTAATTTTATCAAGCTTGCTCCCTGAGTGACCAAGTTGTGGTATCTACATAAAATACTATGCAAGTACTTCACTGAAGGTTCAGTCTATCGACAGCATAATGTAATGCTGCATGTATATCCAAAAATTCGTTTCAGAAAATGCAGGAATTGCAGTCATAGGGGAAGAAAAATACAAACATTTTCTGGGGGAGAATACCCCCAGACCTCCCCCCCCCCCTACTATTAAATGCGATACCACACCAAACGTTTTGTTGCCAACAACTATCTATCATTTCTCCACACTTGGTATAGTATGTCCCTTTTTGTAGATGCCCCTCCCCCCCTCCCCCCACTGATGAATTCTTAAAAAATGCCCTGATATATAGTAACGCAAGGCAATCTTGTAAACCACTTAATGTTTTTCTTGTAAAATAGTGTATACTGAAGGTTTTACCTTGGCTAAATAATTTTTTATTGTATTGCTTATTTAAATTATTTAACGTCAATCAAAAGTTATAGAAGTTACAAGATACTATGCATTATATCCATAACTACATGTTATAAGTGTATTAAGAAAATTATACTGTCATTGAGAAAAATTTCATTGAAGTAGTGCTTATTTTAACATGTAAAGCTATAATCGTAAACAAATATAAGTAAAATAGGGCAACTAGTGCTTAAAACAGTTTGTTGACCCACTAAACATTTGTGTACGCTTTAGTCCTCACGCTAAAGTTTAAAGTTAATATACTTAGGATCACTTGCACACTTGGGCAGCCTTGATACCAGCCTCGATCAACGACTCGGCGCTCATGATGCTCAATGCTGCTTCCGCGATGAAAGCAGCTCCATCCGTTGCAAACCACGCCGTTATCTGAGCGACGGCTATAACCCCTGTTTTAATCCATTCCCACCACGACATCTCATCTTTAATTACTTTGAAGACAGCCCTGAAACCACCAGCATTGTAGATCTGGCCAAGAATAGCAAAGAGGGCTTTGGCTTTTGCCAGGGCACCATCAGCTGCATTGAAGTTGTGTATAGCTCGGAGGAATCCGCGCAAAGTATCTTCTCCTAATTCTCGGAGAAGCGCGCGTGCCATCCGTTCTTGGTTGGACACGTGCAACCCTACCAAGCCCAAGGCAAAAAAAACGACGTCAACAATAAATACGGCAATTGCTTCTACGCAAGGTGTGAAAGAAAGAGCGGTTGCAGTTACAGTGGCTGATACTTCTTTGCTATGACTTTGAACAAGCAGGGGTTCACCATCTTTTGGTTCGGTACCTAATAATAGTAATAATGAAAACTTTATTGGGATTTTCACTTACACATACAATTGTAAATCTCACTATTTCAGGTAATTTAATGATAATAATATTATTTTCAATTACTGTTCTCCAATATTTATGCTCATACCTTCTATAATATGGCGGACAATGTCGTTGTGATGTTTCTTGAAGTTTTCTGCCTCCCCTGGAAACCATTCTCCAAGTGTCTTCAGAGCCTGTGTCACTTGTTCTTTAGTCAGTTTGGTCTTGATAGTTGCCATCTCGATCGTTGGTAAACCGAATTTGGAGGTTCGACAAATCGCTGTGTTTAAACTCGAACTGAAAACTTGCTTTCGACTTCCTTCTTATATGTATACCATCCTCTCAGACCCCTGTGGTGTCCGTTTGTATAGGTATATAGTCAATTGGAATGCAATCAACGTTAATTAAATCTTCAAACGTTGGCGTTTTAGTTTTAGTGTCGGCCGCGATGTTTGTATAGGTGCCACTCGTCAACCTGTATTCCGCGTTAAATTAAAGGCAAGGATTTTTATCTTGACATGGGAAAATATGCTGTGACATTTGATCACCAAAATATTCGGTATCGGCACCCTGTTGCGTTTAAAGCCCAAATCGCGCAATTTACTATCATTTTTAGCGCATAAACCCGAATTTTACCTAGTTATAGTTGACTTTTCCCAAAAGTACTTTTTGCACGGCTTTATGCTCTTTGCGATACTCTCTTTATGTCTACATGGCTTGCTTTTTATTCCGCGCAATATATCCTGTGACGTCACTTTGGCCATGAACTTGAGCGACCGGCCGCGGTATTGATATGGCTATCTTTAAAACAGGGAACGGGGAATCCGGGAATCGGGGAATCCGGGAATCGGGGAATCCGGGAATCGGGGAATCCGGGAATCGGGGAATCCGGGAATCGGGCAATCCGGGAATCGGGGAATCGGGGAATCCGGGAATCGGGGAATCCGATAACAATTTTGTAAAAATTTAAATAAAAATTTTATTCATTTTACAATGTATGCAACTCAGGTGCATTAATGCCTGGCTCCAATTTCATAAGAAGTGGCCGAAAATATGAAAAATCTTTAAAAATCAATTAAAAATTAACAAAGTACACTATGACCCTCATTTTTGGATGATATGTTGGAAACCAACTGGCGATATTTTTCAACTATTTGGTTTCTATGGAGACTGGTCATGTGACAAGATATAGGCGGTTATAATGGAAATTAACTTAATGTTTCAAAACACGGCTTGCGGGCACACTAAACATTCATGGATATGTACAAAAATATTATCACGGAACCTTTTACTCATATACTGACAGGAAGCAGAAAATACGACCATGTTACTCCATTAATCAAACAATTACATTGGCTCCCCATCAGTCAACGCATCATCTATAAAATTGTTCTTATCACGTATAAATCTCTGAATGGCTCAGCTCCACATTACATTAATAATATGCTAAAACCTTACCCACCATCAGCAAATTTACGCTCCTCATCCAAAGGATTGCTTACCATACCTTCAGTAAAACTAGTGAACTATGGTGAACGATCGTTCTCATATGCTGCACCGAAACTGTGGAACGAACTGCCAGAGTATATTAGAAAGAGTGAGACCTTGCCTATTTTTAAAACCAGATTAAAGACACATCTTTTTAAACAGTATTATGACTAAGTTATTATTTTAACAAGATTATTAGCAATTTTATAGTATTCTATATAGTTGTTGTTTTAATATTATCAACATACATAACATAAAGTAATTTTATATTCTTAACGAGAAGAGCATATAATTATTTTTTAGTAATTTTATAGTATAGTAATTTTAGTAGTCAATGCATGCACTATGTTCTAACACTTAGTATATATTTTTAACACTTGTTAAGCGCTATTGAGCTATGGGAAATGGCGCTATATAAATGAATTATAATAATAATAATAATAATAATAATACTGCAATGTACTAATTAGAAAGTTAAAGATTATGCCATAGATATGTAAATGTTGCTGTGAATACAACAATGTCTCGCACAATGTCAATATAATTTGCACTAAAACGATCGTTCCAGATTACAATGCTTACAAGTCTAATTGTAGGACCAAAGTTAGCTGTACTCTGGACAAAATCTACTTATTAACGACCCATATTAACGTTGTATTATGTGCCCGCAAGTCCAACGCGTTTTTCGCGTGATGAATTCGCGCACGCCATGATCATTATTATAATATAGGCCCCTGCCGTGAAACAAAATATTATGAAATACAAATATAGAAATATTATATAATGACTAACAAACCATTTGCAACTAGTAAGTAGTGCATTCAAATAATATGCGAGGAAGAGAGAGAATAATATATACAGAAGTACAATATGATAAGTATACATATCTTCGTATATATATTGAGAATATTCGTCTTATTCGACACTTGTCTGAGTCTTTATATGAAAGGATATTATATTTCAACAACAACATTTATTGCGCACTTAAACATCGCCACCCCAAAAAAGTTTGAACCATCCATATGCTGGGTTATTTGTATTTCAAATATTTTTCTGCGCGTGGGAAACTAAAAAGGATACACAAATCGATGTTGAATAATTCAGACCCGATGTTGAATAATTTATAAACCCGCAATAGCGAGCTTTATATTATATTATATTATATTATATATCAAAGTTCAAAGGTCGCCGCATATCGCATATGATATATTATACTATACAGAAGAAAAACGAATAGTTTACTCATCCCTGCTGGTTGCTATAGTCTAACATAATCCTACAGCTCATATTTATTGAATTTTAGTTTCATTCGAACGCTAAAACGCACTCAAATGACAAAACGCTAGATATGTTCAATCGCGCGCAACTCGCGCGGACATATCAAGTTAAGCGTAGATAGATAGATAGATCAACTTTATTTAAACACATTGGCCTTTTCAGCAAAAGCTGATTTCCAAAAGGGATGTGTACTTACAAATTATTATTTATATACTAGCTCTAATATTACATACATAACAAATACAATTATATACCAGATAGCTTTTTACAGAACGAATTATACGATACCGAATTGCGTATCTCTTCAGGTATCTGATTCCATAGTTTAGCCCCACTATATTGGAAGCTTCTTTTTAAGGATTCCGTTTTTGGTCTTGGAATATAAGCGTGGGCAGAGCAAAGCAAGAGCCAAGCATTAATCGGCCTGAGAATAAAAGAAAATGAAGCTTAATCGAAAGTTTGACGTCACACCAAAATTGCAGAACACGAAGTCGTGAAAAAAACCCAGTTTAATACTTTTAAACGGGCATTTAATGTAAACTTCACGCAGGATATAAACTAAAGCGAATGTGTAATAGCCATGATTGCGCTAAGCCGCTAAATTAAAGAGTTTCGGTATGCATTGTCGCCATTTTTTGTTGGCACTTACATGTAATATAATATTTCATTGCTTTGATTGTGATTGCGATTGTCAAATATAATAGCGGTAACACGTTTGCAAGCAGGGGCGGATCTAGGATTTTTCGTACCTCAGTCAAATTTTTTTTGGTGGACAGGGCGTTATCAGCGGTGGGCGTGGTCTCAACTGGGCGTGGTCGACTCTAGGCGGGGGGGGGGAGTGGGCGCTAAATAATTTTTATGCTGATAGTCCGGCACCGGATTTTTAGAATTTTCCGTATATAAAATGCGATTTGGTCCCCCCCCCCCCACACACACCTATTAACCTAAATCCTAATTAACCAAATTATGAAACATATTTAGATTGAATTAATAAACTCAAACGAACATTTGATGTTAAGTCAAATATGTTAAGTCAAATATTAATAAACTAAACCCTTACTATTAATATTTATTTGTTTATTTATTTATTTAACTTCGCCATTATCATGCATTCATGGCAGGGTCACCACAACAGTATATGTTACCAATTACTGTGGGCCCTTTAATTTTAAATAGATAATAAAACACAACGAAAACTTCGATGTACCTGATCAAAGTCATCACACGAATTGGAACTTGAAGCCAATCAAACAAATTCCTCGAAGTTTTCGTTGTATTGTATTTCACAAACATACTTAATTAGCTGCTTGCAAATTTTATAAAACATATAACAATTCATAGAATATCAAATTGCTATTGAAACATAATAAACAAGGCTAGGAAGACCTGACTACTTCGAAAAATAGATCAAAACAGTAAAGAACCTGGACGTGCACAAATTGACACAAATCTATCCAAATTTAGACAGAACATAAAATAAAGTCTATACTGTAGTTTATATATATTGAACACAAAATATACTATTAATAAACTAGTAACATCAGAATGGCTACCAGTCAATGAGCTTTTCAAGCTACCTAATTAAATATTTCACATCATCATGTTACATCAGACCAATGCGGTCTAACAAGCCATGTCGATAGGCTATGGATAAACCAATACACGTATACGCGTTAATTAACGCGTACATGTGTGATATAAATAAAACTTCACTAACATGAGAATCAACAAATGCTTACAATGTAGACATTGAAATTGTAACATATTTTAGCTTCTTGATGCGAGAATTATGCTAATACAGCAATGCATGCAGCATAGCGAATATATTAAAATATCATATGTCAGACAATCATTAACAACACCGATGGCTTGGTACTGAAGATACATCACTATAAAACCATAATTTATCTATCTACCTTATTGCAGTGCAAGCTTTGTCTTTCTCTAGCAGTAGCTCTCTCAGCCTCTCTGCGCCAAAATTTCTAGCGAGGCTTCTGCTTGTGTTGTCGCTGGCGCCGCTCAGTAGTTTGTAAACAAAATTCGTCCGTGAGGCATCGATATTCTTTTCAAGCTCCGTATACAAACGTACGTTGTATAGAGATTCAAAATCGTTTGCCGCAATCGCAAACTGAACATTGTCAGTCGAAAATGTTTCCAGATATCGCTGGTAGGCCTAGAAATCGCTCGTAATAGTAAACGTTCGAAATGTTAAACTCAGTGGTAAACACTATATTGCTGTGTTGACGAATACCTCACGCTGCGAATCCGTCGAAAATATAAGCCAATGACAGTGCAGAATTTTTTTAAATGGTTCAATCAGAAGGCTCATACAGAGCCCCTGAATCTGCAAATCCGTCAGGCCTCCCCACAGATCCGTCGCAAATGGCCGTAGCCATGGAAATGAGCGTGTCAGCCAATCAGATAGCCAGATTTAACCCCCGAATCCATCAACTTTCATGCGTAAGACCGCTGTTCGTGACTGACTAACATTACTTTGTCGAAGCTCTGCCGCAGCATGAAACGTATAACTGGACTACCGGTACGATTCAAAATTTTAGTAACTCGATCTACTGGCCACTATAGATAGTTGGAGTCAAATTTTTGTGAGCGGGCAATTTTTACTTCAGTCGCGCGACTGATTTGACGACCCCTAGATCCGCCCCTGTTTGCAAGTCGCTTTTTCCTGCTGACATTCATGATGTCTGGAGTGCATGGAAGCTTTAAAATGCCATCGCTAATAAAGCGAAGGCGAATAGATCATGGTCTGCCTCCAACTGTAGTTTTACTAACCAAGACTGAAGACCAGAGATAAATTTGTACAA